GAAACACTGTAGACTGTAATAGTAATTTGAACACCCTACCTAGATGAAACACTGTAGACTGTAATAGTAATTTGAACACCATACCTAAATGAAACACTGTAGACTGTAATAGTAATTTGAACACCCTACCTAGATGAAACACTGTAGACTGTAATAGTAATTTGAACACCCTACCTAGATGAAACACTGTAGACTGTAATAGTAATTTGAACACCCTACCTAGATGAAACACTGTAGTCTGTAATAGTGATTTGAACACCCATTTTGGAAACTTATACCCAAACATGATGTGAAGTAGAATTATTTTTCTTTGACATTTTTTAATTTTATTACTATCTAATAAAGTTTCATACACAAACAGTTTATTCTTTAGTTAGGCAGATTTAAGAATATGAAAGGCTATATATGGATAGGATGATGTTATTTTGATATAACATTTTTGTTTGTTAAACCAAGCTTTGCTACAATTTCTTGTGCTTTTGATAAGCAGTTGATTATGTATTCTCAATAACTACCTTCAATAAAGCTCAAGGAGAAGTAAGTCAATGGGCTTCTCCCAATTAGTTTTTCCCTTTTCAAGTCTTTCCTTGAAGTTGAATATAGCTACATCTGGAACCTTTTCTGTTTCAATTGTCCAAGGCATATTCTAGGTATAGATTTACCCTAGAAACTCAACACTGGCTTCCAATTAGTCACACTACTGTACTTAGCCTATCAAACTGAGTTTGTGATTCCTACCTTGAGTTGAAACTTTTATGTGACCTACCCTCTATTCTTCTTCATATGTCTGCACCTCTTCCACATTATTTTGTTCCAGTGTTGCCAGTTTTTTTCTTATGTTAGTATACTTCCATGTGTGCACCGTTTGTTGTTCGAAGAATGTCTAGGCAATACTTTATCTCCCTCTACGTGTTGTTCATCATCTCGGGAATCGTGTTCCTTATTGTATTAATTATTCTGTGGCAGAGATCCACGATATTACATACAGGTGTTGAATATACCTTATCTTTCACAAACCCCCACAAGAAAAAATCCAACAGGGGGGATGTGTGGACCATCTTGTTGGTCCATCTCTACCAATCCATCTGTGTGGAATGTGTTATTTAGAAACTCCCGGATATCAAGAGCAACAAAGAGTGCACATGTGAAAGTATACTAAGACAAGAAAAAAACCTTCATGAGACTTTCGTCAAGTTGATTAAAACTGGAGTGTTCTAGCTATAATATTTTGGAAGTTATTAACTTTTAAAATAGGTCAGATAACTTATCATCACCCTGTATTACATTTTCACCATCTGGTCACCTCATGGTCAAAGAAGCTGCTCCGAACTTAACTTTAATTAGATATTTCATTATTTTGTACTGTACTGAGATATCACACCCAACTATAAATTAACTATTTTCTCTGATAAAATTTTTCAAACTAAATAACTCTTATTCCATTTATTATCATCCATGTGATTTAACTGACACTATTAATACAATCTGCAAGATTGTTTATTGATAAATTTCAATAGATGTTTTACATCTTGAAGTTGAAGTATACATGCATGTCCAAAGAACTAATAAGATCTGAACTGAAGTTGCAAACTGTGTATTACTATTATTATTAGGACTAATCAAGTTTCACTTCCAGAATTTCAAAGGAAAGCTTTATAAGTATATTCATAGAAATTAGCATGCATTGCAGTAACGAGGTGCTAAACTCTGGATTCCTTTTTCTAACAATAAGTTAATAATGTTACGCATGTCTTGCACTTAACCGTGTGAAGTTAACTGTTCATTGGTTTAACATTTATTATTTACAACGAATTTCAAACATACTATTACTAGTATTGCTTATTACAATGTTAATACGAATAGAATTAGAAGCTTCTTAGCTAAGACTTTTGTAGATTAAGAACGCTAATTTACTAATCCTACTAATATTACTGAGAACATTAAAAATTGTTAGTAAAATATTTCATTTATATATTATCTTAAATATAATTTATGCCTGAAAAATAAATACAAAAATAGTTTATATTTTCACCACACCCACCATCCTCGCACTCCTTCGAAATTAATATTAACTTCCGATCAAAGCTGCTATGAATACACGCAAGCGTCAAACTGCCATCTGGTGACTAATGAAAGTTTTGCAATTGAATTCTTGTGAGTGCCATGGAAGTATTCGCGTGTAGGTTTTAAACCTTGTTTTTTGTATCGTAATTTGAAGAAAAATTTTCTGTCACAATTAATAATATATATTTACTGATAAGTAATTTAATTTTAACCATTCTATCTTCAAAATCTGTTGTGCAGAAAGTTGAAATATATATTAAAATTTAAAATTAAATCCGTGAACTGACTCAAAATAAGTATTAAGTAGGCTAAAAGTGGTAGCGTCTTTGGCACCATCGTATATAAAAAACTATTAACGACTCGTCCGGAAAAGGTGGTAACTCAATTTCTGAGAGGTCTATTTCTTACTCCTCTTATGCGACAAACGTAATGGCAGAGAACGGTTTAAACACCCAAGATTTGGAAGCACAGAAGAATGAGATTTCAGAATACATAAAAAAGCCTCTGAAAAAAGGAGATATATGGCAAGTATATTTTGATTTTGCAAAACTTCGAAATTATATGTACTCTTTTTTTAAAAAATTTTTAGGCGTACACTACAGTGATACACATGATACAGAGTTAAGCTGACTATTCTACTTCAATAATATTTCTAGCAAATATTGTACCCTAATCTAATGTTTTTTTACACAATGCAATTTCATGTTGTTAGACAGAAGTAGAAAATAATTTAGTTTTAACAGTGATTTAGTTAATAAATGTGGTTATTTTGTGCTTGACACTTGCCATAGTCAGCTTAAACTTAAAGGTATACACTTTTTTACTCATCTATTTTTGGTGACATATCTGCTGAATCATCAGTAAAAGGACATTAATACAAGTACTAGTAGTACTAATGATGTTAAAATCGCTGCATGCTGGGGCCTGTATTATATAACTATAATAACTTAGGCCATAATAACCTTAATGAATATGCACAATAGAAAAAAAAGTAAAAAGAGAACACAGTTTCAGATAAAGATATTTTCTTTTGGTTTATTATTTTGAATTTATTGTTTTCTTAATTTTAGAAGATAAGCTCAATTTTGGATATGTTGAGTAAAATTCCAACTTTAAAGTTGAAAGTTTTGTCATTTTCATATAAATACTAAAATTAGACCTGTTATACGAATAATATATATTCAGTAAGTTACCTCTTTACTATGAATAATACTGTCTGAATATTGGTAATCCAAAGCAGGAACACTTAAAGCTAAAAATAGAATTTTCCCAATGATACTTGTTAAGGAGATATTACACTATTGAATTTGAAAGTAAGGACTTTTGAATGCTCTGATAGTGTGTACTAATTTCTGTAAAACTACAAATTTAGACCTTAAAGCTATGGTCAAAAGCATACAGATGTGATTAAACAATTAAGAACTTATTCAGTGAACCCAATTCTTCATTTCTTGACACTTACCAATGTAATGGGCACTAACCCCCAAATGCTTAAAATTGGAAGGGACCATTTCAAAAGATATCTCACAATGCATCAAATGAACAATAAATCTTTCAGCTTTGAGCCTGTGGTTATAATTTGAGAGATATCACTAATATCTTATGTATATGATATTATGAGATGAAGTACAGGATTCTTTAAGAACCATTTCAATTCTAGGAAGTTAGTTGTATTTGAAACATCAGTAGTGAGAATTTCTGTGTTTAAAGGTATCTTGTAGATAGCCGATGGTTCAAACAGTGGAAGAAATATGTTGGTTATGATGACTGGGACACTTGTAATGCAGACAAAGAGAACACCCATCCGGGTCCCATCGATAACTCTGCTCTTTATAAAGGTATACCTTATATGCTGTATTCTGTATACACATCATTAAATTTCTTGAACATAAACATATTTTTATTTATTGATTGGTATAATTTTTGAAAAATTAAGTAAAATGTAGTATTGATAAACTAAGAAAAATGTTTCTTAAATTTTGTTCCTTATTTTACTAAATCATGTATTATTGTTCTGTTAAAGCTCAGAATTTTATGTGTTTGCTACTAATTGTAAGTAATTCCTGAAAAAATGATATCAAAAATTGAATTATAAGATATATCAGTTTTAAATACATTTATGTGCAAGTATATAATATTCATAAAACTTAAATTTAGGAATACAGTATAATTAATTAACTGGCAGTTAATGATGATAGAAAATATTTCTTTTACACTACATCTATACAGAGTTTATTCTTTTATATAACATGGCTCTTTTTGTTTTTTCTGTGTCATATCTTTAAGTAGCTGACTCCTCTGTTGCAACTTGGCTGATTTTTATACATATAAAATGTTTTTATGAGATATTACTACTATTTGTTTACAACCACATTTACAGGTGTTACTGTTAGGGAGATGTGAAGTTTACACCTCATTAAACATTAGTTTATATATCTAGATATTTTGTACATGGAAATTAATATATATTTTTTTCATTTATGAGTTCTATAAGACAAAATTCTATCACTTTTTTTTTCTATGTTTAGAAATGTTAAATGCTTTTCATACAAAATGATTAAGTTTTTTTATTACATATATTATTTATTTTATAAATTCCTTTTCCAAAATACATAATCTTTACTTTTATTCTTAATTTTGTTTAATGCAAACTGGAGTTTATTATGAGACATTTTTTATAAATGTAAATGAAATAACACATATCAACAGCACATATCATTTTCTTGAACACCTCCTTAATGATAATTATATTCTGTTTACGATGGATGTTGTTCAATTATATCTTAGTATCCCAATTAAAGAAGAGATAGATTGTGTTATGACTATGATAAGAGAAAACAAAGATGACAACTTTTAAATATTTCAACTGATTGGTTAGAAAGAGCTCTGAGGTTTGTGTTAAGTAATGGGTATGTAAGGTTTGATGGGAAATTTTATAAACAAATCAGAGGAATAGTTATGGGTAATAGCGTAGCAGTAGTCTCAGCTGTAATATTTATACTTGAACTGAAAGCACTTTATTCTTGGAAAATAGGAGGGAATATTGGTCCATATATGATGTAAATCGAGTGTGGAACACTAATTTAGAACCTCTTATCAGTTTCCACGAGTTCTTGAATACCGTTCACCCATTCATATAATTTTCACTTTCTTATACCATACCAGATAGAAATTTACCATTTCTAGATTCTACAATTCATGTCAGGAATGGTGAAATCACTACTGGTGTTTTCAACAAGCCATCTACTAAAGCTCTTTGTTTACATTTTCACTCACATGCTGTAAAAAGAGGTGTCGTTATTGGCTACCTGTATAGGATTGATTTAGTAACAAAGACATGTGGGAGAAGGCTAGGGAAAACCTGATGATTCTTTTAAGAAAAAATGCCTGTCCATGGAAATTTATACAAAACATAAGAAATTTTGATAGGCAAAAATAAAATAAACATGTTCTCTTGAACTGTATAAATAAAGAAAGCACATTTAAAGTTCAGGTTGCTTGGGTGATTCCATATATAAGTGATAATATCACAACAAAATTGAAGAGAATAATTAACAGTTTGGACTTACCTTTTAAAATAGTACAAAAACCAGGCATCTCTCTTAATAACAAGTTCAACATGCAAGAAAGAAACAGGATGTATGAAAAATAACTGTAAAGCTTCTAAATATGGACTACATGATAGATGCCATAGTAAAAACATTGTTTATGATGTAACTTGTGGCAGATGCTCTGATACGTATATAGGAGAAACTTGCCAACCCGTACATAATCGAATATCTGCGTGATATCCATAACCTTAGTATTAACAATGCTATTGCAGAACATTATGGAAAAGAACGTGGAATACCACAAGCAGCTAACATCTTATTGGATATCTAAATGCCATAGTTTTCTGGACTGAAAGATTAAAGAATCAATTTTATCAAGAAAAAGAAACCTAAAATGAACAAATATAAAGGTTGGCCTTTAGTGTAGAAATGTTAATAGCATTCTAAAGATTTTAATATCTTGAACTTTGACAAAGTCTTTATACACACTCATAATGGTTGAAAAACATTATTTTGTGTATTTATTGATATAATAAGGTGAAATAGTATTTGCAGACACAAATATGAAGAGATATTTTATATGCATAATTTATCTTATTCTAAATCCACTATTTTAAGAGTTTATCTGTTGGTTTACACATTATTTATTTAGCATTGTTGGCTTGGTTTGTTTCAACAATTTAAATTCAAGAATTTTTCTTATTGTTTGAATATGATCTGAACTTTCTAAATGCGTATTGATGTTCGATTTACTGGCAACAGTGTTCCAATTTAGATTCAACTTGATTAATGAACTTTTAGGATACTGACGAAACTATAATAGCAAAATATTGATCTGATAAAGTCACATTCTGGAGATATAGGTCGTTATGTTATTTATGTTTATAAAACTTTACCTTGATTAAAACCTGTACACTTCATGAGTTAATTTAAGCATTCTGTCTGATACAGGAAAAGAGGAAGAAAACAAATGATAAAAACAGCAAAGTTTTTTTACCCTTCTTTAAGAGAAATAAGCTGTGAATTTTTAACACAGTGGTTCTCAAACATCTTGGTACACCACAGTGGGATTTACGCCCTGTTGCCTCTTCCTTTCTTTAATTCTGCAATCTTTTGAAGTATCACCTGAAGGGAGCTAACAGATCACAGATTGAGAACTGCTACACAGATATAATACATTATAATATGGTGCATTATTTTAAAATTAATTAAAAACTGAGACTACTTGAGGTAGGAATCGAACCACAGCTGTCAGAGGAAGCATTTTAACCACTACACCTTTCTTTCATATCAGGTTTTTCCACCTACTTAGCCCTTCAGTCATCAGTTGTAACCTAATATCATAACATATTCATAGACATATTATATGTTTTGCTTCTTCAACAAGGAGGAGAGGAAGAAGAATGATAAATTTATTATTTTTTGACTGTTTATTTCTCTTAATCAAACACGAAGCTGTTGTTTTTAATGTGGTGTCAGAGTGTTTAAATCTGCTCAGAAACATAAAAATAGTGGCATTCCAGCATTTGGAACATCCCAGATTTGGCCCAAAGTTTGGACTTGTATATGAATTGTTACTCCAGCTTCTAATTTGGCTGGTGTCACTATTGTGTCTCTAGATACCATACTTTTCATGTAACTAAATATGAATTTTTAGTCTCTCCCAACACAATAAATCTGACAAAAAATTTAATTCACCTTATGTTTCGTAGTGGAATGGTATACATTTTGTTCATGTCTCTACTTATATAAATACATGAATGAAATCTTTATGTATTTATTAGCATCTTTTGTTGTCCTCTGTATTATGTAGAAGTTGGAAGTGGAGAGTTGAATGAATACCTGGTAGAAGAAATAGGTTATGTACTACTGCCTCAAGAATGTTGGGATCGGTTAGTGTCATGGTACACACTGTTACCTTCCCAGGATCCTATTGCTCGAAATGTAGTAGAGTATGGAATGTTTTCGAAACAATGTAAGGTAAGGCAACATTAAAAGATAAAGAAACAATGTAAGGTAAGGCAACATTAAAAGATAAAATTACAAAAACAAAGTAAATGCTTTCTAAAGTCACAGCTAATGTCTAGATTAAGAATTTTGGAGCTAATGTCATGCATTATATCATCATATGCTGCTAAACATATAATTTGTTTCTTTAACATGGATATCATCTCTCAAGTGTATTTCTTTATCTTTTAATGTTGCCTTACCTTACATTGTCAATGACAAAACAAAGCCAGTGAAAGGCCTATCATTACACAGTAAAGGAAATATTCAGTTTCGTATTTTAGAAACATAATTGTCAAAAAACGTTTCTGTATGTAAATATTATAACTTGCTTTCTGTTGTCATTGTTTAGGTAGTGATGCCATTGTATGTATCTAAAATGCTTATTGTTAAAATTTAGCTTTTTTCATATAGCTAATTTCTAATCTATTATGCAAAATGTTTAAATTTTTGTACTTGGAATTACTTCCCTTGCTGTTTCAGTGAGCATATATTTAAATGTTGTGTATTGGATTTGTGTCATAGAATGAAGTGTATATTAGTTATTATATAGTTAGGCTAACTAATTTTTAAATTTTCACTTTGTGTTTACTTGCAACAAACTCGGTTCATTGTTTTCGTTCTGGTGCTGTGTTCCTTTTTATCATTTATTGTTTGTCAGATTTGGATTCTAACTTAATCGCTTGCCTAAACTGTGAAGATGATTTATATTCAGGCCCATTTGAAGTAGTTTGATATATAATATATACGTATTAATTATATACATTGATTATTAGACTACTTCAACCAAGCTGGGACATTGATATGTATGTTTCTCCATTAAGACTGATAATGTGAGTCATTACCATCAAACTGTAAAGTTGGAAAGCATCCAAGCTTCATTTGATTCTTTAGTTCATTGTTTTGTTATGCCTACTACTAATAATGCTGGTTTCAGGTGCAGTATATAAAGCATCCAGTACTTCATGAGTGTGGATCAGGTTTCTACAGCAATGTTGATGTTCTGTAGTTTCATCTAATACTACTGTTTCACTTATTTACTTAGTCTACTAATGCCCTGATGCTTTCTTTCTCTCACTCTTTTTGTAAATGGGAAACTTCTTTGTGACATCCAATATGTTCTAGTTTTATGTTTGGCTTCTAGAGTTGTTTTCATTTTGACTTTTTATTCTACTGTTTGGACTTATCTGTCAGAATGGGTTGTTTTCATTCTACTGTTTGGGCTTATCTGTCAGCATAACCATTCGTTTTAGAGGAACAAATATAAAATTCAAAGCTACCAGAAAACTTGTACATCATTGAGCACAATGAGAATAAAGCCTTCTTCTAAACAAGTAGTGGAAGTGATATTAAAAAATCTATTTTTCCAACATGGTGTCAGATATCAACATTTTTGTATAATGATTATCAGAACAAAACTAAAATAGTGTTGAAGTTATATGAATCATACTCTTATTTATTAGTTTTCTAATAAACTAAGAGTACCAAGCTCGAAACAAATGTGCAACATGTTGCTAAGAGTACCAAGCTCGAAACAAATGTGCAACATGTTGCTAAGAGTACCAAGCTCGAAACAAATGTGCAACACGTTGCTAAGAGTACCAAGCTCGAAACAAATGTGCAACGTGTTGCTAAGAGTATCAAGCTCGAAACAAATGTGCAACATGTTGCTAAGAGTACCAAGCTCGAAACAAATGTGCAACATGTTGCTAAGAGTACCAAGCTCGAAACAAATGTGCAACATGTTGCTAAGAGTACCAAGCTCGAAACAAATGTGCAACATGAATATTAAATAATTTATTACTTTGAGGAAATTAAAACCATTGATCTAATTTAGGCTAAAATTTTATAATAATATATAGCTGACCTACTCTATATGACATTTTACTGCTTCTTGCTTAAGAATGTTTCACTTTACAGGTAGAAGTTTACTTAATGGAGGTCAAGCTGTGTCAGAATAATGACCTGGAACACTGTATAAATCATAAGTTCAGTAGGAGCAACACTATAGGTAAGTAAAGTTTCTGTCATGTAATGTTTCAACTGTATGATTGTAGTAAAGTATTATATAAGTTATTAAAGACACAAATGACAAACCCTATAACCCAACTGCTTTTGAATTTAATAATAAATTCCAATCAGATTAAGATACTTACTTAGAGTGAAACTAAAATTCAACCTGAGTTTGGTAATGAATATAATTAACTAAGTATACTTTCCTTAATCGATTATTTACAAAGATAAGAATGCATTATTTCATCAGTTGGATACTTTTTTATTAATGTCTTGCATGGTTTGGTCAGCTCAGGAGATTTAGGTTAGACTGGCCAACTCGGGAGATTTGGGTTAGACTGGCCAGCTCAGGAGATTTAGGTTAGACTGGCCAACTCAGGAGATTTGGGTTAGACTGGCCAGCTCAGGAGATTTAGGTTAGACTGGCCAACTCGGGAGATTTAGGTTAGACTGGCCAGCTCAGGAGATTTAGGTTAGACTGGCCAACTCGGGAGATTTAGGTTAGACTGGCCAGCTCAGGAGATTTAGGTTAGACTGGCCAACTCGGGAAATTTTTAGATTTGACAGTTTTCCAATGATGAAAAAAGGTGTACCTTTTAAAAGTGTTCAGTTGATAGGGATTCTTATTTTTACCTTTAGTTAATTTTTTAAACCTACGTGTTTTCCAAACAACATGAATTACATAAGTTATTTTCAGACTTGCTACCTTCATTTGTTAAATGTAAGAAAATGTAAACATTATATAATCTTTATAAAGGTTTATATGGTATAAAGTTTTTTTAATATGGGTTTTACAGTAAACACTGAGTTATTTGGACAATAGTTTTTGTGTCTAGTTTGAAAAGTAACTGTGGGATATGATCTTGAATGTATTCAGTATTTACACAGTATTTCAAGAAACAATTTCATTTCTTTATTGTCATGGTTTGTAAGTCTGTTCAGTGCTTTCTTAATGATTGTTTTTAGTATATTTAGAATATATCTATTGGTTTTTCTGTTTTATTTCTAGAGAACATGTAGTTATTGATTGTTTTTAGTATATTTAGAATATGGTTGTGTTTTTCTGTTTTGTTTCCACAAAACATGTAGTTAATGTTTTTTGGTTTTATTTCCACAGAACATGTAGTTAATGTTTTTGGGTTTTATTTCCACAGAACATGTAGTTAATGTTTTTGGGTTTTATTTCCATAGAACATGTAGTTAATGTTTTTCTGATTTATTTCCACAAAACATGTAGTTAATGTTTTTCTGATTTATTTCCACAGAACATGTAGTTAATGTTTTTGGGTTTTATTTCCACAGAACATGTAGTTAATGTTTTTTGGTTTTATTTCCACAGAACATGTAGTTAATGTTTTTTTGATTTATTTCCACAGAACATGTAGTTAATGTTTTTTTGATTTATTTCCACAGAACATGTAGATAATGTTTTTGGGTTTTATTTCCACAGAACATGTAGTTAATGTTTTTGGGTTTTATTTCCACAGAACATGTAGTTAATGTTTTTTGGTTTTATTTCCACAGAACATGTAGTTAATGTTTTTTGGTTTATTTCCATAGAACATGTAGTTAATGTTTTATTTCCACAGAACATGTAGTTAATATTTTTGGGTTTTATTTCCACAGAACATGTAGTTAATATTTTTGGGTTTTATTTCCACAGAACATGTAGTTAATGTTTTTT